ACAGAATTCGCCGTACTGGGGTTTGTTTTGGTGCTCATCTTATACATATTTAAGCTTTGAGCATGGAAATGTCCAGAAGATGGAAAAACAGTTTGATGTACCACTTATAACTCTTGCGAACACAATCAGCAAACCCAATCTGCATGTCACATTTGTCCACTGAACGCATGTTGAAGGTGTAATCAATCACAGCTGCAGGTTTTAGATGGGTTCATTTCTCTCTCTATGCTGCCTGCCACTGTCTGCCATTTCATTAGGGTAAATTGGATGACACAGTGTGACATCTCGTTTGTCATGCCACCGAAATGCCATGATGTCTTTGGCAGCAAACGCCCTGCACCTCACCTCTGCGAGTGCCAGCATCAAACCTGGGCATATGTTTTCGATTTGCACGCACTGTGCCACACACGTCGGGCATGTTCATTCGAAAAAAAATTCACTGAGTGAGGGGCTTGGTACCAGTTATCTGTATATAATATATGCCCCTTACAAGGTATGGTTCTATCATTGTTCGAACACATCACCTGAGATGCCCAATAATTCCTGGTATTTTGCAATGTATAACTTCCAGTGTACAAAAATAATATCCAATACCAGACCACTGTAACAATCACAAAGCACAAACAACTTTATACCAAAGCGTTTCCTCTTGCTTGGTATGTACTGCTTGAAGACAGCCTTCCTTTGAAAAAGAATCAAAGACTCGTCAATTACAAGCTTCCTGAAGGGATAAAAATGGTACTGGGAAATTTTTGTTTCAGATACACAAACACATTCCTAATCTTATATAACCTGTCAGTTCTGTCAGGCCTGGTTTTAATCTGAGAAGTGAAGCATACGTAACATTAGCACAAATCGATTACTGGCATTATATCACTGAAACCTGGTGTTGCAATCAGGGGGGCGTTGACCATAATGATTTCACTTTGTGCTTATACACATGTGGCATAAGCATTAATGTGGCAAAGAAAAGATACATCTCAGCCACAGTTGCCTCCTTCCATTGGTGTAGAAAGTGATTTTGGTGAAAGTATTGTGTTTGCCATGGTGTACTTGGAGTATGTGTTGCTTTCCATGACAATACTTTCATCAGTGGTTCGTCAAAGAATAAATCGAAACATTCCAGTTCAGTGGCATTGTTCCCAAGTGCACAAGATGGCCGTATTCCACTTTGGCTGCCATCAAACTGGTGGGGATTTGGAACAAAAATTTACAGTTCCTGCCAATCCCAGGTGCGGTCTGCTGGTGGGTACTGGACAATGACAGGTGGTTGTGGTTGGGAGGTGTGGTTGTGGAGGTTTGGTTGGGAGGCTGGTGTGGTGGGGGGTGGGGATGGTGGCCTTTGTTCTAGAAACAGCTGAGGCAGCGGCGTGGCTGGCCCGCGTGGGTGGCAGCATGGCCCACTGCTGGTGCCTCACCGCCGGCAACCACTACCACCACGCACATTTTCCATCCCAATTCAACAGTATTTCGTCATTTTCCTGCTGTTCCGTTTGTACAGCCACGGGATGTACTCCCAGATACATCCTCCCCCTTTGGGATAACATATGGCACACTTCCAGAGCGCATATATCGTCGTATATACTGACGCTTCACTGGGGAAAATTGCACTTCACTATCACTACTGGGAAATAGTTTGAAGAGCTTGTAGTTCATATTTCACTATCACTATCATCACCCATGCTCTCATCTGAGTCTGGGATTTGGGAAAATAGAAGTTTCCTCTTGGGTTCTGGAACAACTGAACGTGAACACGAGGGCCCAGCACCAGAGGTGGAAGGCTGAGGGTCGTCTGGGTTTTCTTCACTATTACCGATATTATGGTCATTAGTTTCGGTCAAAATCTCACTAAAACCACGAAACTCATCTTCACTGGCACTTCCATCACTATTAGAACTGTCACTGGGGAACAAAAGTGTCCCAATTCGCCGAGGAGTGAGGAGCTTCTTACCGCGAGGCATGGTGGACATTGTTTACTAAGAGGGCATTCCCACAATGCACCACTGGGTCCCAGATTTTTTTTCTACCGCGCACACTGACCACGCAGACCCATTCTCTCACACCTAGACCTATCAGCCTTTTCGCGCGAGATTTGAGGCCGCTAGAATTTATGCGTACTAGTACGTCAAAAACCCCTACGCGTAAGACGTACTAGTACGACGAAAACCCTCAAAGGGTTAAAAGATAAAGAATCTAACACAAAGTGGTAGTTGTCACAGTTGGTTGATGAGTTTGGTAGGGTATGTAAAAGAAGGAAATTAAAAGTGAATAGAGGAAAGAGTAAGGTGATGAGGATAACAAAAAACTTAGGAAACAGAAGACTGGATATCAGATTGGAGGGAGAGAATATGGAGGAGGTGAATGTGTTCAGATATTTGGGAGTGGACGTGTCAGCAGATGGGTCTGTGAAGGATGAGGTGAATCATAGAATTGACAAGGGGAAAAAGGTGAGTGGTGCACTGAGGAGTCTGTGGAGACAAAGACCTTTATCCATGAAAGCAAAGAGGGGAATGTATGAGAGTATTGTTATACCAACACCCTTGTATGGGTGTGAGGCATGGGTTGTGAATTTTGCAACAAGGAGAAGGCTGGAGGCAGTGGAGATGTCATCCCTAAGGACAATATGTGGTGTGAATATAATGCAGAGAATCCATAGTTTGGAGATTAGGAGGTGTGGGATTACCAAAATTATTATCCAGAGGGCTGAGGAGGGGTTATTGAGATGGTTTGGACATGTAGTGAGGATGGAATGAAATAGAATGACTTTGAGAGTGTATAAATTTGTAGTGGAGGGAAGGTGGGGTAGGGGGTTGGCCTTGGAAAGGTTGGAGGGAAGGGGTAAAGGAGGTTTTGTGTGTGAGGGGCTTTGACTTCCAGCAAGCTTGTGTGAGCATGTTAGGAGTGAATGGAGACAAATGGTTTTTAGGACTTGACGTGCTGTTGGAGTGTAAGCAAGGTAACATTTCTGAAGGGATTAGGGGAAACCAGCAGGCTGGACTTGTTTCCTGGAGATGGAAAGTACAGTGCCTGCACTCTGAAGGAAGGTTGGAAGGTAGGAGTTTTTGTGTGTAGGGGTTCGCTCCAGGCAAGGGGAACATGTAGGAGTGAATGAGACAAAGTTTTTGACTTTGACCACGTGCCTTTGGTGGGAAAACGGCGACTTGTTCTAATGAAAGTAAAAAATGAATGAGAGCCTTAATTTCATTTCATAGACTCTAGGGTGCTCTATAAGTGTAGAATGATGATTAAAGTTTTTGGCACGGTGGGCCGGTGGGTAACCCATGTTTAATTAAATGAAAACAATAAATACTATATTCACCATACGCTTAGGGGCTTAAATATTATTAAGGTGTGGCCGTGTCTATTTTACTTTTTTCCTTTTTTTTTAATTTCGTGTGTATTACTATTGTTTTAATCATTTAAATTTATATGTTTGTGTTAACTTGTTATCTGCTATTTATATGCATTTATAAGTGGAAAAAATGGCATTCTGCTTTCTGGCTACTGGCATTCTGCTTTCTGGCAGTAGCCTGGAACCTAACCTGCTGTATAAGTGGGGCCCTATTGTATATATCCACTCGGATTCAACACTGTATTGTTTACGAAACTTGTTTACACTAATAATCATGTAAAAATGTTCCGTATTACTAATGTTCAGTTATATACATATATAGTCACATACAGTAGGCATGTGTGTGTTAGATAGGAATGAATGGAGATGAATGTTTTTTGGAACTTGACGAGCTGTTGGAGTGTGAGCAGGATAGTGAAAGGATTCAAGGGAAACAGGTTAGCTGGACTTTTAAAGAGTCCAGGAGGTGGGAAGTGCAATACCTGCACTTTGACCTTTGAGGGTCCGTCCCATAGTTCTACGGCTTTGAAGCCAGGGTCCAAGCCATAGTTCTATGTCATGAGCTCAGCTCACTCAGATAAGCTGTGAGTGGTAAATTTGGGCCTAGTTATGAGAGAATGCATCTATGTGGTAAGTGTGCACCATATAAAAAAATCCTGCAGCACGCAGTGCATAATAAGAAAAAGCTGAGACTCTTTTTATGTTAAAACAGCAACTTTGCGGTGTATTTTCATATGTTTTTTTATGATTGTATTCTCGGTTTCTCGATCTCATTTGATAGAATTAGAGATGATCTTGATTGATTTTAGTGCTGAAAATGGCTTGAAACTGAGCTCAAAGTGGAAAAGTTCAATTTTTGCTTATGTTCAAGAGTAAAGAAGTAACGTCATGCGTCCAGTACACGTCAGTTAGTGGGTCTAATATGTGTTCACGAATGCGCTGATATTATTTATACAATTATTACAATATTGCATAACAGTAAATCTTCTATTTTTTGGTGTGAATAAAAATTCATTGTGAATGAAAAATCAAAGTGAAATTCACTTGTAAATCTTGGAAATGTAACTAATAAACAAAGGAAATGTTAATTAAGTGCCAGGAATGCCTGCATTATTTATTCTGGACCTTATTTTGAAATTGGAATATTTTGAACTCTGTGAAATTGGCCAAATTACCGATTTCCGATCACTATTTGGTAGTTGAAATAGTTGATTGGGCGATTTCTTGTACCCAGTCGATAAAATAGAAGTAATACTAGCAAAATAGCTAAGAATTTAGTCGACTGGAATAATGTAATTGGCCTAAAATGGGAGTCAAAGTGGGCAAAATCTACGATGCATAAATATCGCTGACACAGCAAAATTCACAAGAGCATAATTTCATTAATTTTCCATCAAATTTTGTAATTCTTTTTTAATTCTTGGACCCTGTGGACAAGTTTCAGATCAGTGGTCTGGACCCTGAAAGGGTTCAAGGAGGGGTTTGGGATATTGGCTATTTGGAGCGACGTGAACTGTTGTATCTGGGCACCTCTGCAAAGATAGTGATTATATGTGAATGATTGTGAAAGCATTGAATGATGGTGAAAGTGTTTATTTTTTGGATCACCCTGCCTTGTTGGGAGTACCCTACACAGTACAGTACATTCATTTATTTTCTCTTATATTGCAGGACTATACATGGGCTGATTTACAATGCTTTGAAGTTGTTCATGGAAATGAATCAGAAGCTCTTTGACGAGTGCACTCAGCAGTACAAAGCAGAACGTCAAAAGTAAGTCTCACTCGGTGTCATTGCTCTCATCCTGTTTACAATGTGTAATGATGTATGCCAAGAAAAGTTGGTTGGAAATTCCATTTGGGTGTAATTTTTAAAGTAATGGAAGCACTGGAAACTTTTTTTTTTTATATGGATAAAGATTTCTACAGCAAATGTCAAATTAAAAAGTATCAGCCTTACAATACAACGAGTACAGTGGTCTCTTTGATTTATTATGGACTGGAGCTACGATAATTTTGAGTTATGATTTGCCCTCATAAAGGAATTTAGTATTCTTCTTTCAACACACCGGCCGTATCCCACCGAGGTGGGGTGGCCCAAAAGGAAAAACAAAAGTTTTTCCTTTTACATTTAGTAATACATATATATATTTGGAAAAGGCATATGAAAGGGTGGATAGGGGAGGAATGTGGCAAATGTTGCAAGTGTATGGAATAGGTGGTAGGTTACTAAAAGCAGTTGAGTTTTTACGAGGATAGTGAGACTCAGGTTAGAGTATGTAGGAGAGAGGAAGATTATTTCCCAGTAAAAGTATGCCTTAGACAGGGATGTGTGACATTACCATGGTTGTTCAGTATATTTATAGATGGGGTTGTAAAAGAAGTGAATGCTTGGGTGTTGGCAGGGGGTGTGGGATTAAAAGATAAATGAGTTTAACACAAAGTGGAAGTTGTCACAGTTACTTTCTTGCTGATGACACTGTGCTTTTGGGAGATTCTGAAGAGAAGTTGCAGAGTTTGGTAGACGAGTTTGGAAGGGTATGTAAAAGAAGAAAATTAAGAAGGAACGTAGGAAAGAGCAAGGTGATGAGGATAACAAAAAATTTAGGTAATGAAAGGTTGGATATCAGATTGGAGAGAAAGAGAGAGAGAGTAGGGAGGAAGTGAATGTATTCAGATATTTGGGAGTGGACTTGTCAGCAGATAGGTCTGTGAAAGACGAGGTGAATTATAGAATTGATGAGGGGAAAAAGACGAGTGGTGTACAGAGGAGTCTGGAGACAAAGAACATTATCCATGGAAGCAAAGAGGGTAATGTAGGAGAGTATAGTAGTACCAGTGCTCTTGCATGGGTGGTGAATGTTGCAACAAGGAGAAGGCTGGAGACAGTGGAGATGTCATGTCTGATTGCAGTGTGTGGTGTGAATATTATGCAGAGAATCTAGCTTGGAGATTAGAAGAAAGTGTGGGATTTTTAAAAGTATTATCCAGATGACTGAGGGCAGTTGTTGAGGTGGTTTGGACATTTAGAAAGGGAGGAACAAAGTAGAATAACTTGGAGGGCATGTAAATCTGTAATGAAAGGAAGGCAGGGAGAGGGTGAAGAAGGTTTTGTGTACAAAGGGCTTAAACTTCCAGCAAGTATGTATGGGCATTTTTAGGAGCAAGTGGAAGCAGATGGTTCTTTATGACTTGACATGCTGTTGGAGAGTGAGCAATGTAACATTTATGAAGGGATACAGGAAAATCAGTTGGCTGGACTTGAGTCTTGGAGGTGGGAAGTACAGTGCCTGCACTGTGAAGGAGGGGTGGAAATATGTTACAGTTTTTTAACTGTAGTGTAGGCATGCCTCTGACAAGACAGTGATTGAATGAATGATGATGAAAGTGTTTTTTTTTTTCTGGTCACCCTGCCTTGGTGGTAAACAGCTGATCTGTTAATAAAATAAATTATGAAACATAAGTAACATAAACAGCCACTCTGGGAGGTACTACTGTCCTGCCAAGTGAGTGTAAAACAAAAGCCTGTAATTGTTTTACATGATAGTAGGATTGCTGGTGTCTTTTTTGTCTCATAAATATGCAAGATTTCAGGTACGTCTTGCTACTTCTACTTACAATTAGGTCACACTACACATACATGAAAGGGGGTAAGGCAGCCGGGATTGATGGGATAAAGATAGAAATGTTAAAAGCAGGTGGGGATATAGTTTTGGAGTGGTTGGTGCAATTATTTAATAAATGTATGGAAGAGGGTAAGGTACCTAGGGATTGGCAGAGAGCATGCATAGTTCCTTTGTATAAAGGCAAAGGGGATAAAAGAGAGTGCAAAAATTATAGGGGGATAAGTCTGTTGAGTATACCTGGCAAAGTGTATGGTAGAGTTATTATTGAAAGAATTAAGAGTAAGACGGAGAATAGGATAGCAGATGAACAAGGAGGCTTTAGGAAAGGTAGGGGGTGTGTGGACCAGGTGTTTACAGTGAAACATATAAGTGAACAGTATTTAGATAAGGCTAAAGAGGTCTTTGTGGCATTTATGGATTTGGAAAAGGCGTATGACAGGGTGGATAGGGGGGGCAATGTGGCAGATGTTGCAGGTGTATGGTGTAGGACGTAGGTTACTGAAAGCAGTGAAGAGTTTTTACGAGGATAGTGAGGCTCAAGTTAGAGTATGTAGGAAAGAGGGAAATTATTTCCCAGTAAAAGTAGGCCTTAGACAAGGATGTGTGATGTCACCATGGTTGTTTAATATATTTATAGATGGGGTTGTAAGAGAAGTAAATGCGAGGGTCTTGGCAAGAGGCGTGGAGTTAAAAGATAAAGAATCACACATAAAGTGGGAGTTGTCACAGTTGCTCTTTGCTGATGACACTGTGCTCTTGGGAGATTCTGAAGAGAAGTTGCAGAGATTGGTGGATGAATTTGGTAGGGTGTGCAAAAGAAGAAAATTGAAAGTGAATACAGGAAAGAGTAAGGTTATGAGGATAACAAAAAGATAAGGTGATGAAAGATTGGATATCAGATTGGAGGGAGAGAGTATGGAGGAGGTGAATGTATTCAAATATATGGGAGTGGACGTGTCAGCGGATGGGTCTATGAAAGATGAGGTGAATCATAGAATTGATGAGGGGAAAAGGGTGAGTGGTGCACTTGGGAGTCTGTGGAGACAAAGAATCTTTGTCCTTGGAGGCAAAGAGGGGAATGTATGAGAGTATAGTTTTACCAACGCTCTTATATGGGTGTGAAGCATGGGTGATGAATGTTGCAGCGAGGAGAAGGCTGGAGGCAGTGGAGATGTCATGTCTGAGAACAATGTGTGGTGTGAATATAATGCAGAGAATTCGTAGTTTGGAAGTTAGGAGGAGGTGCGGGATTACCAAAACTCTTGTCCAGAGGGCTGAGGAAGGGTTGTTGAGGTGGTTCGGACATGTGGAGAGAATGGAGAGAAACAGAATAACTTCAAGAGTGTATCAGTCTGTAGTGGAAGGAAGGCGGGGTAGGGGTCAGCCTAGGAAAGGTTGGAGGGAGGGGGTAAAGGAGGTTTTGTGTGCGAGGGGCTTGGACTTCCAGCAGGCATGCGTGAGCGTGTTTGATAGGAGTGAATGGAGACAAATGGTTTTTAATACTTGACGTGCTGTTGGAGTGTGAGCAAAGTAACATTTATGAAGGGGTTCAGGGAAACCGGCAGGCCGGACTTGAGTTCTGGAGATGGGAAGTACAGTGCCTGCACTCTGAAGGAGGGGTGTTAATGTTGCAGTTTAAAAACTGTAGTGTAAAGCACCCTTCTGGCAAGACAGTGATGGAGTGAATGATGGTGAAAGTTTTTCTTTTTCGGGCCACCCTGCCTTGGTGGGAATCGGACAGTGTGATAATAAAATAAAAAATACACATACATGTACATGTTTATGTATACACACTCTTCTGAGTTCTCTTTGATTTTATCTTAATAGTTTTTGTTCTTATTGCTTTTCTTTTTATATCCATGGGGAAGTGGAATAAGAATCTTTCCTCTATAAGCCGTGCATGTTGTAAAAGCCAACTAAAATGCCAGGAACAATGGACCAGTAGCTCCTTTTCCTGCATAGCCTACTAACAAGAAAAAGAAGAAAACCATCAAAGTGGGTTGTTTGAATGTGCGTTGATGTTGTGCGAATGATAAGACAGAGATGATTGTGGATGTTATGAATGAGAAGAAACTGAATGTCCTGGCTTTAAGTTAAACAAAGCTGAAAGGGGTGGGAGAGTTTCAGTGGGGAGAAATAAATGGGATTAGGTCAAGGGTTTCAAATAGAGTTAGAGCTAAAGAAGGAGTAGCAATAATGTTGAAGGATAAATTATGGCAGGAAAAGAGGGAATACAAGTTTTAAAAATGCAGTATTAGAATGTGGGGCAGAAGTTTGTGGCCATAGGAGGGTGGGTGCAGGAGGAAAGAGGAGTGATTGGTAGAATGATAAAGTGAAGGGTGTGATATAATAGAAAAAGGTAGCTTATGAGTGGTTTTTACAAAGAATATAAGAAGAGCAGAGTATATGGGGAGTAAAAGAAAGGTGAAGAGAATGGTAAGAGAGTGCAAAAGGAGAGCAGATGATAGTGTGGGAGAGGCACTGTCAAGAAATTTTGATGAAAATTAGAAAAATTTTGGAGATAAATAAGTTAAGAAAGCCTAGGGAACAAATGGATTTGTCATTTAAAAACAGAATAGGAGAGTTAGTAGATGGGGAGCTGGAGGTATTGGGTAGATGGCGGGAATATTTTGAGGAAATTTTAAATGTCGATAAAGTAAGGGAGGCAGTAACTTCATGCACTGGTCAGGGAGGTATAACATCTTTTAGGAGTGAATAGGAGCAGGATGTGAGTGTGGGGGAGGTGCGTGAGGCATTACATAGAATGAAAGGGGGTAAAGCTGCTGGAACTCATGGGATCATGACAGAAATGTTAAAAGCAGGGGGGGATATAGTGTTGGAGTGGTTGATATTTTTGTTTAATAAATGTATGAAGAGGGGAAGGTACCTAGGGATTGACAGAGAACTTGTATAGTTCCTTTATATAAAGAGAAGGGGGACAAAAGAGACAAAAATTATAGGGGAATAAGTTTACTGTGTATACCAGGAAAAGTGTATGGTAGGGTTTTTATTGAAAGAATTAGAGGTAAGACAGAGTAGGATTTCAGATGAACAGGGAGGCTTTAGAGTGGGTAGGGGATGTGTAGATCAAGTGTTTACAGTGAAGCATATATGTGAACAATATCTAGATAAAGGTAGGGAAGTTTTCATTGCATTTATGGCTTTAGAAAAGGCATATGATAAGAGTGGATAGGGGAGCAATGTGGCAGATGTTGCATGTATATGGAATAGGTAGTTAGTTACTAAATGGTGTAGAGTTTTTATGAGGATAGTGAGGCTCAGGTTAGGGTGTATAGAAGAGAGGGAGATTACTTCCCGGTAAAAGTAGGTCTTAGACAGGGATGTATATTGTCATCATGGTTGTTAAATATATTTGTAGATGGTGTTGTAAAAGAAGTAAATGCTAAGGTGTTGGGGAGAGGGGTGGGATTAAATTATGTGGAATCAAATACAAAATGGGAGTTGAGACAGTTACTTTTTGCTGATGATCCTGTGCTTATGGGAGATTCTAAAAGAAAGTTGCAAAGGTTAGTGGATGAGTTTGGGAGGGTGTGTAAAGGTAGAAAGTTGAAAGTGAACATAGAAAAGAGTAAGGTGATGAGGTTATCAAATTATTTAGATAAAGAAAAATTGGATATCACATTGGAGAGAGGGAGTATGGAAGTAGTGAATGTTTTCAGATATTTGGGGGTTGATGTGTCAGCGGATGGACTTATGAAGGATGAGGTTAACCATAGAATTGATAAAGAGAAAAAGGTGAGTGGTGCATTGGGGTAAGTGTAGAGATCAAAAAAAAAAAAAAAGTTATCTTTGGAGGCAAAGAAGGGGATGTATGAAAGTATAGTGGTAGGTTGTAAATGCTGCAACGAGGAGGCAGTTGGAGGCAGTGGAGATGTCATGTCCAAGGGCAATGTGTGGTATAAATATTATACAGAAAATTCGGAGTGTGGAAATTAGGAGAAGGTGTTGCGTTAATGAAAGTATTAGAGGGCTGACGAGGGGTTGTTGAGGTGGTTTGGTCATTTGGAGAGAATTTATCAAAGTAGAATGACATGGAGAGCGTATAAATCTGTAGGGGAAAAAACTCGGTGTAGGGGCCGTCCTCAAGAAGGCTGGAGGGAGGGGTAAAGGACGTTTTGTGGGCAAGGAGGTTAGACTTCCAGCAAGCATGCGTGACCATGTTAGATGGGAGTGAATGGAGACGAATAGTTTTTGAAACCTGACGAGCTGTTGGAGTGTGAGCAGGGTAATATTTAGTTGAGGGATTCAGGGAAACCAGTTATTTTTATATAGCTGGACTTGAGTACTAGAAATGGGAAGTACAATGCCTGTACTGTAAAGGAGGAGTTTTGGATATTGGCAGTTTGGAGGGATATGTTATATATTTTTATATATGCTTCCGAAATGTTGTATCTGGGTACCTCTGCACCTAGAAAGTGTTGAATAATGATGAAAGTGTTTTCTTTTTGGCAATTTTTTTCTTTTTGCATTTTTCTTTCTTTTTGGGTCACCCTGCCTCGGTGGGAAATGACCGACTTGTTGAAAAAAAAAAAAAAGTAAAAATATGGTTATAATAAATTTCTTTGAACTTTGTTGTACTCTATTTGCAAAACAATTTGAATCTAAACATTTTCTTCAATTTTAACTTGTGTGTTGAATGTTCGTATAGGAAACTCCTGTATGAGTAGGTAACACCATGTAACTCCCAGTCTGATGAGTAATTTTTTTCTTTACATGCACCGGCTGTCTCCCACAGAGGCTGGGTGACCTGCAAAACAAGGAAGACTTAAGTGTTTCTTATTTTTATATTTAGTAATTTATACAGAAGAAGGGGTTACTAGCCCCTTGCTTCCAGCATTTTAGTCACCTCTTACAACACACATGGCTTACACAGGAGAAATTCTTCCTCACTTTCCCATGGTTTGGGAATAGAATTGTAGATGAGTGGAACAAACTCCTGAGTAGCATCATTGAAGCTGAAACCTTGTGTAGCTTAAAAATAAGTTAGTCAAGTACATGAGTGGGTGTGAGTTGGACCTGCTTAGCTTGGACCAGTAGGCCTGTTGAGGTGCTTGTTCCTTAAGCGGATGTGACTTGGACCTTCTTAGCATGGGCCAGTACTCCTTTCTAATTTTTTTTTTTTAAGTCGCCTGTCTCCCACCGAGGCAGGGCGACCCAAAAAGAAAGAAAATCCCCAAAAAGAAAATACTTTCATCATCATTCAACACTTTCACCTCACTCACACATAATCACTGTTGTTGCAGAGGTGCTCAGAATACAACAGTTTAGAAGTATATACGTATAAAGATACACAACATATCCCTCCAAACTGCCAATATCCAAAACCCCTACTTTAAAGTGCAAGCATTTGTACTTCCCGTTTCCAGGACTCGAGTCCGGCTATATAAAATAACCGGTTTCCCTGAATCCCTTCACTAAATATTACCCTGCTCACACTCACATTATCACCAGTTTCTTCAGAGAATATAAAAAACACTGAAAATGTTGAACTGCTGATGCAGAAAAAATCTGATGTACTGTACTCCCTTCTTTAAGGAATGAAAGTACACCCCCAAATTATAGCTTGAGTTACAGTATCTCCTCCCACTCTCGTTTATGGCCTGGGTCAACAAATGTCCTCTGAAATGTTTCATTGAAGGGAGGTTAGTTTTAGGTAGGTTAAGGTTTTAATTCTCTAGAAGAAATGCTATTAAGAGGCCTAGCATATGCTTGGCATTTCTAGCCCCTGAAAAATTAAATAGTATTCAATGTATGTATTTTGTGTAATGTTAATCAACTGTAAATAATTTTTTTATCAGGAAAATGCATTCTCATCAGAGAGTTTAATTCACAGAGAAAAGGAGAAAATGCGAGAAAGAGAGGAAGCATGGCAGCACATAGAAGATTTAGCTGTACAAAATCCACTGTTTGACAAGTTTTCTGCTGAAAGTGACAGTCTCTTTGGTTCTCGTTCATCCTTGATGGCTTCACCCCAAGATGATAGTGACAGTGACTTCAATCCAGACAATATTGGAGGTGAAGCAACAGAGGTAAATCAGATTTCTTGTATAAAAATCTTTCTGATTTAGTAATTGATTACATATATAATTTAATAGCATAGTGATTGAGTAAATGATGGTGAATGCGGATTCTTCGTTGGGACATCCTGCCTTGGCAGGAGATGACCATCGAGTTAAAAATAATATCATCATTAACGACTACAACAGTAACTACAGATATTATAAATTCAGGCTGTATTCTTTAGTATTTCTTTCATATTTGTTTAATATGCAGAGTTTAGTTTCTTGAGTTATGTTGGTCCCTATTTTGGGCCCTCCTATTTTAGATGAATTTCTGCATAAATTTGTTTATGTTTTCGAGTATCGGAGATATTTCCTGTATGATGCTGGTGGGTTTCATTGCAACTCTGAAATTTCATATGTCTGAATTAACATTACAGTTCAGGGTTCTGAAGATATGAAGTGAAGACTAGTATATATGGGTTGTAAATGGTGATTACACCAACACATGCAAATAAGACTCAAATGTGGTATTGGGACGTATATTAAGGAGACATTTCACCATCCAAGGCTTTATTAATCGATGGATTTTGTCTCATAAAATGTATGAATAGCTTGTATGTTGAGCATGTTAAATAATGGTTATGTATTGTCTAATAATAATAAAAATAAGTATTGTCTAAAGCTAGATTTTGATATTGCTCTAATAGCTCACTTTTGCTGTGTAATGATTGGTTTGAGACTTGTTGATCCACATGCATGACTACAATGTGAGAGATATTAGTAGGTAAGTGTAGTACAGGGTAAGCATTACAGTGTAAGGTACACAGTAGCTCATCTTTTAAAAGGTTTACTATTTTCATGTATAAGCTTGTATTCGTATTTTTTCTTTGTCTTTGTGTGCCTTATATTTTAAGAGGGCATTAAGCCACTATCAACTAACTTTTTTTTATTATCCAAACTTGGTTGTTGTTTTTCACAAAGTGCATCTGTTATCATTCTTGTATGCTGAATGTTCTGTGAATATCGAGTGAAAAATAACCTAAAAAACTTTTTTTTTATTATTATTTAACAGCAACACCCCTGTAATAATGCACAATATTTGTTTAAAACCAGCCATCTCCCATCAAGGCAGGGTGACCTGAAAAACAAGCACTCTCATTATCTTTAGTTATTCTACAAAAAAAAATAAAGTTGCTAAGTTTTTGACATTTGCAAAATATCTTGGCCTTTACTCCCACACAAATCCCAAAATATTTGGAATATTTCCAATATTCAACAAGCCAATTGTAGAACAATCATTTTTTTATGATTCCTGTTAATATTATTGCATTTACTTCAGTAATAAATGGTGGGCTTTGTGAAATAAGTCAATAACTTACTTCCGAGTTAGATCACTAGTGCAGTGATATATCACTGCACTAGTGATCTAATGCAGTTAGCCTCTCAAAAACTTTGTTTTCTCTTACCCAGGACCAAAGAACACATTATAGGAAAGAGCAGTAATGATTTTATATTCTCAGACTGGTTCTGGACACTCGCCATATTATGGCCTATTTTATTCATTCTAGAATATATACCATGTTACTTATAGTGTTTATTATGTCATATGAGATCAATTCTGATAGATAAGCCATAGAGTTGATATTAGCGTTATGTTGAAGTATTTTCTCCTGCCCCTGGGGTGGTTTTTTTGGGGGCTGGAAAGGATTACTGGCATTTCAGTTAATTTCAATAAGGAAATTTGATTTGTTATACGAGCAAATTGAGTTACGAGCTCGGTCACAGAACGAATTAAACTCGTAAGTCAAGGTACCACTGTACGTATATTGTAAAGGACAAATTTCTGAATGTTGTGAAAAAAATAAAAAGCTATTTCAATAATAAATGGCAGCCACATAATGGAGAAAGAGGTAAAAAGTTACTTGTCAGCAGTCTCTCACCTTGTCCATCCTTCACCCAAGGGTCCAATGAGTGCTGCTGGACTTCGGACTCTTGCAACTCGCACATGCTGCTGCCCATTTCAGTGATGCCAAATGTTGATTTAGCAAATTATTTTTTCATGTCAGAACCCAACTTTCATATGTCAGCATATTTCACATACGTTAGCCATGATGCCACGGACTTCAAATACAGTCAAGTCAGCAGACTTTGAACTGCTTGACTCGCTGCAGTGAGGGAGTACAGCCTCTCCTCACTTAACAACGTAGTTTCGTTCCTAAGACAACGACGGCAAACGAATATGTTGTTAAGCAAGGAGCATTCTATAATGGTAGTGGGTTTGTGTCAACCATCTTTGATATTGTTTTAATGTCACCTTTGCACTATTTATAACATTTTTAGTATATTTTTAAATGTTTATACAGTAGTGTACTATATATTGTAATAAACAGAATAGAGGAAATCAGCTCTACTATACATTATTTAGGTATGCATACTGGTGAGAGCCCGTCGTAAGTCTGAATCGTTGGTAAACAAGTAGTACGTCGCTAAGTGAGGAGAGACTGTAGTCAGTCAGACACATACCCTCAGATAAACAGGACACCAGACTGCAGGCTGGGCTCCTTATACCTTTGTTTCTCAATAAACTGTCTCAGTGCCTTATCATTTGCCACCTATACTCCACTTAGGGACCCTTCCGGCACATAAGAATGAAATTAAAAATATAAATACATTACTTTGTGTTTAGGAATGATTTTTTTTTTCTTTCAACAAGTCGGCCGTCTCCCACCAAGGCAGGGTGACCAAAAAAAGAAAGAAAATACTTTCATCATCATTCAACACTTTCACCTCACTCACACATAATCACTGTTTTTGCAGAGGTGATCAGAACACAACAGTTTGGAAGCATATACGTATAAAGATACACAACATATCCCTCCAAACTGCTAATATCCCGAAACCCCTCCTTTAGAGTGCAGGCATTGTACTTCCCAATTCCAGGACTCAAGTCCGGCTATATAAAAATAACCGGTTTCTCTGAATCCCTTCACTAAATATTACCCTGCTCACACTCCAACAGATCGTCAGGTCCCAAATACCAATCGCCTCCATTCACTCCTATCAAACACGCTCATGCACGCCTGCTGGAAGTCCAAGCATTAAGTCCAGCATTAAAGCAAAAACTAAATCTCCTATAAAATCACTTAAAAATTTTCAGTTAACAAGCATCTTACATTGGCATTTATTCACATCCACTGTGCTGCCTTTTTTTTTTTTTTCAAAAATTCTTTCGTTTTCCAAATAAAATTTCACCAGTCTAAAGAGTGGTCTAATTGCACATTAAGGTTTCTTTGGTTGGTTGGTATATTTCTAAATTTTATGTTAGAAGTCTTTTCTAGATTAAGTGCAAGTTAATATTTTTTTAACTTCATTACTATGTCATTAAGCATAACAGAATCAGTATTTGAGAAGACAGTGTTACCAGCGAGAAGAGTGTTGGTCTGCGTTGAGTGTTATTTGTTAACTAATTGATATAAGGGAGGAACAGGCATATTATATTTATTGGGAAGCACTAACCCATAAGGGTCACAATGCCTTAAGACGAACAAGAGAGAACTCTGAATGATTCTCTGGGAGACATTGTTTTGGGTAGAGTAGCTTAGGTAGTGTCAGAAATGATTGTATGTGGCTCCTTGTTACTGAGGTAAAATTTAATAAAATAGTATGAATAACCTGAGTCAATGGAGCTTGAGTTAAAGTGTTTGTTGTCTTCATTGTCAAAAACCTTTTGCAGGTCAATAAGTGTCCAATTATATACTATTCATTCTTGTCAGGTGATGTGTAGATTGTCTAGTATATCTATTAAGAAATATGTAGGGGTATATTCAGTGCACCAATTAAAATTGTTAGTCAAGGAAGCTTATATGCAGATAGTATGTACCTAGTTATTTGTATTTGTTTAGCATGTTTGTTGACATTCATTTGGTTGATATGATCTGGTTCTTTTAATATTAACTATTGTATGTATATAAGACATCAGTGTACAGTATGCCGTATTATTTCTTAGTTCAGTCCATTTCTTATTTAGCTTAGTAGCTTAGGCTATAGAAATTCTTTCTAGCATTGATGGTTCATTGGGTGTTGTGTTCTGGACCCTCCTGTGCCAAACAGCTTATACTTGTTTTTCACGCCTATATCCAAGAGTATTTAACTTGTACTGATCCTTGGGGGGGAGGGGGGTCTCATATTTGTTATACTGGCTTAACATGATGTATTTCATTCCTTACTGTTACTTTTTCTGTCTTTCAGGTATTCCTTAATCCATATTAGTACTCTGCCTGTCATCCCAGCCTGCATCTTGTGTTATCTTCTGTATGGTACTGTGTCGAAGGCTCTTGAAGTCTAGGTATATGAAACATCCATCCTCTTTCCTGTTTAATCATCATCCTATCATAGGGGAGGTGGGGGTGGGGGCAGCTTAGGTTTTTGAGACATGATTTCCTCTTCCTGCAGCTGCTATTGTTCTCCCAGGAATTTTGTGTTCTCTAGGTGTTGCACCTGATATTTTTCAGTTATCTTTTTTATTATTTTGCATAGTATACTTGTTAGGAATATTGTCCTGCAATTTAAGGCTTCTAATCTGTTGCCTTTCCTAAATTTTTGAAGTAAGTGTGCCATGTTCTAGCTGTTGGGCAATTCCTATCTAATGATTAGTTGAAGGACTGGGAAAGCAACTTGCAGAGGACTTTGGCTTCTCTCATCATCCTTGGCATTGTTGGGTCCTATTGCCTTTGTTGTGTTGCATTCCTTCAAGAGCCTCATTACTTCCTCACTCGTTTTCAGTATTTGCCAGTTCCGTGTGGTTTATCCTCCTTTCCACCACTGACACTGGCCCTTGCTCGGATGTGAAGATGCTGTGGAATCTTCTATTGAGCTCTTCGCAAACATCCTTATCATTGTCTGTGAGTAGTCCACCATCTTTCTTCACCCTTATCACCTAATCCTTTACTGACATTTTCCTCTTGATGTGGTTTTTTAATAACTGGCTTTATTTTTCCTTTGGCTACTGTGTATACTTCGAACTGCCT